TAATGAGCTCAATAAGATAAAATATGACCGAGTTGTGATTCTTTAAAGTCACATAAGAGAGTTTGATAGCCTTTTCAAAGGACTTGTAATCTTCTTCAAGCATTAGTGACCTTCCATTCAAAATTAGCCTTAGATACTTAAAGATAAGTTATTAAGGACTCTTAAAATATAATCATGGATTTAGAATCAACCTAAAATCTCAAAAAATGAGCAAGATATGGTCTTTGGAAGTCAACCCAACCTCACTCAGAGGCTGCCAAAATGACTTGTAACCCCTTTCAACTTTTGATGACTTTCAATGTACAAAAGGATCTTGACATGTAAAAAAGAAGTTGTTGTAGATGATGATAAGAAATCATGGCAAAAAGAAACAACTAAAAATGTTGAAAATTAAGTGAGTTAAGCACTTGTAATCACTGAATCAAGTACTTGTTCAATTAGGCCAAACTTGTTGAATCAACCTTGAACCATTTGAACTTTCTTTGCAAAATAGAGCATGATGGATCACATTAGACTTTAAAATGATGTTATCTTGAAGAAAACTCATGGATGAAGCTTAAGTCTCAATGAAACTTGTTGAAGAAGACATAGAAATAAACACATGAATCTATGAATCTTCTTGATGAATGTCATTCTCTTCGAAGCGAGCTTTCCCTTAAATAAAATGGAGAGAGTTATTTAAACCAAAGAATTGTGATGCCATCAACATAGCCTTGAAGCTCAAACTCTTGGACTTTATTGAACAACCATTTAACTGAGGATTATCTTTCAAAACCCTGGGTTAGATGGTGAGATGGATGCAGTTGTGTCATCACCTACAATATAAACATCCAAAGAAACATATATACATATTTTGATGTTAGTTAAGAGTTAATCAACATAAGATGCACATGTACAAGATATATAACTCAAGGTGCTTGGTGATCCCTCAAGAGCAAACTTAAAGATAGGAGGAAGTAGAAAAGAGAACCAACCCTAAGGTGTGATCTTGATGTATTGATGATATGAGATGATGAGATATCTTAGGGGGGGGGGGGGGGGGAATTGGGGTATAACGCCACACTACAATTAATTCATTATACATATAGAATTCACATGAAGTTCTTACATCGATAAAAAATATGAGATTTCTAAATCGTCAACCAAATTCAAATAATGAGATGAAGTGGTTTTCTGAGTGGATTTTGGATATTGGTGATGGTTCAATTGAAGATTTCAATGACATATATATTACACTTGATATCCCACATGACTTGCATATTTCAATAGATAACAATCGTCTTACAATAATTATTGAAAGCATATTTCCTTATATTTTAGATGATATTAGTGAGGTATATTTTTTCTAAAGTAACACTATATTAGCTCCACAAAATTTCATTGTTGATATGATTAATGATTATGTGTTATTATTTCCTAGGGAAGAAAACATATATTTTAGTTAGATAGTTTCTATTCACCCAATTTACATAATGATCTAGTTGATGATATTACCACCCCAAAAATCTTGAACACAATTAATACTTCTGGACTTTCATATGAAAAGTTAAAATTTAAAGTTGAGGCACCAATAATATTATTAAGAAATATGATTGGTCTTTAGCATTGTGCAACGAAACTCGATTAATAATTACAAAGATGAGAAAATATATTGTTGAAGAAAATGTGATTTCAATAAGTAAATATCGAGGATAAGGTATTTATTCCTCAATTGTCCTTAACATCGTCTGATATTAGAATTCCTTTTGAATTTTAAGGAAGACAATTTTCAATGATTGTTTCTTTTGCAATGACAATTAATAAGAGTCAAGGTCAATTAATTAAGTATGTTGGAATTTATATTCCTTCGTCGATGTTTTCACACAATCGATTATTTGTTGCAATTTCAAAAGTCACTTTAAGAAATAGATTGAAGTTGTTGATAACTGGTGAAGATAATCAATATACTAATTCGACATCAAACGTTGTCTACAAAGAATTTTTTGAAATGTGTAATATATATATATATATATATATATATATATATATATATATATATATATATATATATATATATATATATATATATATATATATATATATATATATATATATATATATATAAAATTATATATTAAATAATCATTTTAATTAAAACTTATTTATTTTAATTAAATATTAAATAATTGATTATTTTAAATATTAAATAGTGAAGATATATTTAATAAACTAATTATTGTTTTAATAAACTAAATATTTTAAATATTAAATAGTTAAGGTATACTTAATTTGCTACTATATTTGTGTTAGAAAAAACTCCACACAATTTTTTCTAACACAAATTATACATTAATTATACTATTTAGTGATATGAGAAAATTAAACTATTTAATAATTGTTAGAATTATTTACCTTAAAATTAATTATTTGATAATATTCTTAATTAATTATTTCAAATAACTATTTCAAATAATTATTAATAGTTGAAACCTAGAATTAAAAACCTAAATTAAAAATACAGTAGCAGAAATCCAAAATTAAGGACCTAAACCAAAAATTATATATATTCAGGGACTAAATAAAAAATAAGCCAACTAATTAGGAACATAAGTAAAAAATATATATAAATTGATAATTATTTTAATAAATATTTAAAATATTTATTAAATAGGTTAATAAATATTTCAACTATTTATTAAATATTTTAATTATTTAGTATCTCAACTAATAAATATTTCAATTATTAAATATTCAATAATTATTTAATTACATTTCAACTATTAAATTAGCATATTAATTATAAAATATTTTAATTTTTAATAATAAAATAATATAGTTAATTAATAATTAAAATATTTTAAACAATTTAATATATAAATTGTTTTATATTATTATTTTTTAAAATAAAACAAAATTTAATACCAAAATTCAAAATAAAACAAAAAATTTCAAAACAAATTATAATATATATATTTTATTGTAAAAATTAAACAAAAAGTACAAGTGACTTCGTAGTGGAGAATCTATACTACAAGTTAAAGGTACAAGGTTCCAAATTCATTGGTTTTTGAAGAAAGAAAAATCTTTAATTAAATTTTAAAATTTTATTTTAATCTCAATCATTAATAATAAATTCAATAATTATTATTTAATTTTAATATTGTTATATAATTTACTTATTGTCCTATATATATAAATCAAAATATAGATAGGAACCTAAATATATACTAAATTAAACAAAAATTAAACTTATTTCATATATACTAAATTAAACTAAACCAAAATATATATATATATTCAAAGATTAAACAAAAAATAAGTCAACTAATTAGGAACCTAAATCAAAATATATATAAATTAAATAATTATTTTATTAAATATTTCAAATATTTATTAAATAGATTAATAAATATTTCAACTATTTATTAATATTCTAACTATTTAGTATATCAACTGATAAGTATTTTAATTATTAAATATTCAATAATTATTTCATTATATTTTAACTATTAAATTAATATATTAATTATTAAATATTTTAACTTTAATAATAAAATTATTTAATTAATTAATAATAAAATATTTCAAACTATTTAATATATAAATTACTATATATTATTATTTTTTAGAACAAAACAAAAATTAAAATCAAACTCATAATGAAACAAAAAAATTTTCAAAACAAATTACTATTATATATATATATATATATATATATATATTATATATATATATATATATAGTATATATATATAATATATATATATATATATATATATATATATATATATATATATATATATATATATAGTATATATATATATATATATATATATATATATATATATGATATATATATATATATATATATATATATTATATATATATATATATATATTTAAAATTCAAAGCTGATACAGTGCAAGTAAAAGGTCAACGTAATGAAAATGAATTAAATTAAAAATTATATATATAAAATATGAAGAATAATAATATATTTTTAGTAGTGATACAGAAGTACACAATCTACCATCTATCTATTAATACGATGGTATTTGAAACTTTTCTTTGGAAGTATTTAAATCAAGGTTTAATTCCTTTAGGATTAATATAAACTTCATTTACATTTTATAGCATTTATAATAATACTTTCAAATGAATAAAAAGTTTGAGTCTAAAGTTGAAAGTCAAACATTCATCCTTAAAAAAAAGTCAAATATTCAACAAAATGTAACAAACTTCATAAGAAAACTGAATTATTAATTAGTGGTAAAATATGGTTGAAAGACAATGACAGTAAAATTAAAATTGAACAAGACGATTAATAACGTAGTAGCAATCAAGTTTGAAAATTCCTACACGGTTTAACATTACTTAATTACCTACTAATATAAAAACAATCTCTTGTTTCCATAAATTAAAAGACCCCAACTATGTCGGTATTAAAATATGAAAAATATATTTTTTTCATTAAAAAATATAATAATTATTATCATAATTAAATTTAATTATTTGATATCGTTAAATCAACTCAATTGATAGAAAATAAATACATAAATTTGATTTTATTAAATTAACTCAGTTGATAAATTATAAATACATAGACATCAAATATATTTGTTAAATCAATTCAGTTGATAAATAATAAATATATAGACATCAGACGCGAAATTGAAAGAAAAAAAAAATAATGAATAAGTTATTAATATTGCAATAAAATAATTAAAAAAGAAAAGTGAATGTGACCACATGACACATTCCTTGAAGAAAACGCAGGCTGTTTAGGTTCGGGTTCGGAGTGAGGTTCGGTTTTGGAGTTTTGAAGAAGAATAGATAAGCACTTATTTTTCTCTACCCTTCATCACCCGCCACTACAAAAGCACTTCCAATTTCCAATCTTTTTCCTTCTCTCTCTCTCTCTCTCTCTCTCTCTCTCTCTCTCTCTATTCATACTTGTACAAAAAGTTCTCTTTTTTTTCTTTCCACTTCTAAATTTCCACTCAAATTCTTATCATTCAATCATGGTTAGTTACTCACACTAGTAATCAATTCAATTTGTATCAATTATTATATACCTAATTGAAAATTTGTGATTTTAATTTTGATTTTTTAATTCTTGTTGTTGATTCTATGGAATTAGGGAGGTTATGAAGAGGAAAACAAATGGCCTTTATGGTTGCAACCACTTCTTCAAACCAGTTTCTTTGTTCAATGCAAAGTCCACTCAGATTCTCACAAGAGTGAATGTAACATGTTTTGTTTGGATTGTATTAATGGAGCCCTTTGTTCTGCTTGTCTTGCTTCTCACAAACATCACAGAACAATTCAGGTATTCATTATATCATAATTTAACCCAATTCTGACAAATTTTCATAATCAAAGCTTTTGGTGTTTTGTAATCTGATTAATTCTGCATTGTTAGGATTAAATGAAATTCCTTTCATCAATTCAATATTTTTTATAAAAAAACATCCTTTTTCAATAATTGGTTGTTACAATTATTATTATTACTACTCAATGATGTTGTCTGTTGGTGGTTCTGCCTTTGATGGATAATTATATTTGAATTATGATTTTTTTATTTTTTATTTTTTTGGGTAGAACAAATAATGTGGTTGATATTCTCTGATGAATTTTTGTTTTTAATGAATGTTGAAGATAAGGCGATCTTCATACCATGATGTGATAAGGGTTTCTGAGATACAGAAATTTCTGGACATAACAGAAGTTCAAACTTATGTTATAAACAGTGCAAAGATTGTGTTTTTGAATGAAAGGCCTCAACCTAGGCCTGGAAAAGGGGTCACCAATACTTGCCAAGTCTGTGAAAGAAGCCTCCTTGATTCCTTCAGCTTCTGCTCTCTTGGTTGTAAGGTAATTGCTTTTTATCTCCTCATTTATTAGAGTCGTGATAATCGAAAATTCAACCGGGAAATAAGTAAAGTCTGATTAACGATTGTTTCTAGCTCAGTGAAGCTTATTGAATATTGACAACTGTAGGGAAAAGTTTCCATTGTGAAGTATAAAAATGGTTAAATGGATTTCTCAAACTGCATCTTTGGATTACATTAGTAGTAGCAAAGTATGGCTTAATTGTTTTTACTAAATTTTGTTATGATATATTTTTATAGAAATGTTGTACTTGTATGCAAATTGTGAAGTAATAAAACTATTGTAACTACCTCCTACTTCTTTTCTGTATAAAGTATGCAACCATTAAGGTGTACTTTTGTTGTTTCCTTTGAAAAAGTAAGAAAAATGATGATGAGAGTAGGTGGATGTATATAAATGACCACTTCAACTTTTTTATTTTTTTTTCTTGTTAGATTGTTGGAACCTCCAAGAAGTTGAGGAAGAATAATGGGTCTGATGGTGAAGAGTCAATGAATGGCATTAGCAATGGAAGTGGAAGAAACAGAATTCATAGCTTTACACCTTCAACACCACCTCCAACAGTGGTGAATTACAGATCAGTTAAAAGGAGGAAAGGTGTTCCACATAGATCTCCAATGGGTGGAGGAATCATTATAGAATACTAAAATTATTAATATTGTTATATAGTGGTTTTAATGTCACATTATTTATACCTAAAAAGATCCAGCCGTCATTACCACTTTCTTAAAGTGGCGTCCTCGGCTATTATAGTCATGTTCGACTTAAGAGATTAGTCTCTCTCTCACGCCGATGATATTTTCACATAGTTGTATTGTATTGTAACACCTGAGCCCTGTTCCCTGAGGCCGGTGTTGGATTTACTGTTCTACATTGTTGTATAAGAAAAAAAGGGAGAAGAATATGAAAAAAATAAAAAATAAGGTTAGAAAGCAAGAATAAGTGGGGAATTTGTTGTGCTGGTTTTGTGATGCTAAATGTATATATTAGTGGTTTGTAGAAAGGAATTGTATAGCATTAGCATCTAGTTTTTGACAATAAATTAAATAAAGTTTATGATGATGTGTATTAATATTATTCCATTGGTTTGGTACATGAGCATTGTCCTTGTCCTTTCGAAGTTGAAAGTAGTATATGTAGTAGTAGTTTTTTGGCTAGTGGACTAGTTAGTGGATTAAACTTTAAAAGGGCTTGATTATTAGCCTTTGCTTCTCTTTCCTGCTTTTGGAGTTGGAGCTTGACTTCTTATGACATTAATAGCAATATACTAGTAGGTGATTCGTGTAATGTCACACATTGGAATGCACACAATGTATTAGTGCGTGTGAGTGTCATTTATGTATATAAAAGATGTATTAACTACATACACTATCTGGCTTTTAACAGTACCTTTTTCTTTGTGATAGTTTCATTATTATTGGCAATGAATTGGGTACTGTTGTTTTGAAAACGGGTCCTACCACATAAGAAATGAGATCCTTACAAATTAATAACATTCAGATGAATTTAATAGATAACACACTTAATGTTGAAGAGACATTGTCAAAGAGGAGAGTGTTAACACTGTATTGCTTTCTGTTTCTAGATGGAACTTTATTGGCCTTTTCTAACAGTATACCGAACTAAAGGTTGGGAGTATTTAGAGTTTAAGTTGAGTGAATAGTTAGTTTTTTTAATAGATGTAGTATTTTTTTTTAAGTTTAAATAGTTTTTTGATTCCCGTATGTTAGTATGTCGTTTATTTTTGTTCTAGTATTTTTTGTTTTTGGAAATGATCTCTGAATGTTAATTTTTTGTTTTTGTTTTAGTCCCTAAAGTTAAAATCCGCATGAAAATTTGTAGGTTTCTTGCGGATTTTTTTTCGAATTAATATGTGGATTGGATTTTAACATTCACGGATCATTTCTAAGAAAAATAACATATAGAGACGAAAATAAAAAAACACGTCAATTTATAGGGGTCGAATGACTATTTAAGTCTTTTTTATAGATGCAGTTATTTAATTCAAGAGTTAGTGTGAAGGCTGGTTCTCATGCATGTTAATCCGGCCACGCGTCCCGGGTCTTTATCTCATAATAGGAGTGAGTGGAGTGTGTTATCTCCCATAATAAGAAGCAAAGTTAACTTAAGGAGGCTTGAGATGACTTTAGTTATTCTCTTAACACGTGGCTTGATATGTTCTCCTACGAGTTATGATAAAGGAGTATTTGGGTCGGGCTGGTCACATGCTTGGCACATGACCCTATCATTTCGCTTCTAAATACCTTTCGTGTTATTTTTGGGTTAGGGAGTCGATAAGTTGTGCTCTTTGGAGTCTGACCAAACTTATTTCAGTCCATAACAAGCATGAGACTCAAAAGGATAGTGTTGTTAAGGCAGGATATTTCAGTATACAGTCTCTCAAGCACGATGCCTAAAAGGGTGATGTGGTTAAGGTATGATATTTCAATCCACGGTCCCTCAAGTATGAGGTGTAGAAGAGTGATGTGATTTAGATGTGTTTGTTAGTGCTATTGGATAAGTCGTGATGTTCTACGATATTTAGGTTGGGATTCAAACAAGAGCACCAATTGGATTTCTTCTTCATTATTTTCTTATTATGAAGTTTCTTCTTTCTTTTTTCTTCATTGTTTTCTTATGTATTAAGTCTCTTCTTTCTTTAGGGGATTGCATTTCTTCCTACAAAGTCATCTTCAATATTTCCTTAGGAAAATCACGAGTATCAAATTCTACTCCCTTGTCTCTCTTTCATTTTAGTGATTAACTGATGGTGATTATTAGAGAGTTCGATGAGAATGATGCTTTGATAGAACCTAGGATGCGCGAGTAGATATGTAAAATATGGAAACACTGCGTATCAAATTCAAGGCGACGTGACATGAGGGTTAATTAGAACCTTGTAGAACTAGCTAGGGATGTTTGGGAGTTATGATTGTAGTTCTAGTAGCTTTGATACCGATGAGTATAATAAAAATGACTTTTCTTTGCCTTATTCTCTCCAAAGACAAGCGGGGTCATGAATGGTGATTACAAGCACCAACTGTTTTAATGTTGGGATTAATGTTATTCATTTTGGATACACTAGAGAGGCCAACATGGCCTCGTTTATATATATATTTACCAATGGCGATGAAAGTGATGTGTTTTTGGAGTCCTATAGTGAGGGTGAGAGGGGCAATTTGACCATGTGGTGGGACCATAGACGATTTCTTCTACATGTATAGCTAGCAGGTATGTCTGTCCGTTGGTTTTGATGATGACAATTGATGAAGCGATTTTGAAGATAACAACTTCATAAATCAAATGGCTTTTCGATGTTGTGAGTTCTTTGTGTCTGGAGAAGTTGATGGCATATGATCAAGAAGATATCTCAAGTCTCATCAGTCGTAAGATTCAAATTCTGATTAAAGTGCTAAATCATCATTGTATCAGTCAAGGAAACTTGAATATCAAAAATTGTGAAAGTGTGAAAGCTTACATGATCTTGCTTAATGTCTTAAAGCGATAAGTTTGTTAGTGCACTTGCCCGTTAGATGTTTTGTATGATGTCAAAATTAGGATAACTTTAGAATTTATGTATATTGGACGATATTTTTAAGTCATTATGTGCATATTTGCATTAGGGTACTTAGAATGTATTTAGGACATGTTTCGAAAAGATATCATGCACTAAAAATCAGTTTTTGCACTAAAATAGGTCTATGTGTCGACACATATGAAGTATGAGTCGACACATGTGGATCAATATTAAAACTTGTAGCCTCTGTTTCTACGTGTCGATACACCGAGCCTTTTAGTTCGACACATACTGAAAAAATCTCATTTATGTGCCGACACATACGATGTACATGTTGACACATGTAATCCATTTTTAAAGAATGTAACTTTTGTTTCTATGTGTCGACACATGACCTTGAACAGGTCGACACATGCTATAACATGAGTCGACACATGACTTATATGTGTCAACACATGTTGTAACTTTTATGAAAAATTGGATTCTTTTTCAATTTTTAAGTTTCCCTTTTGCCCCTAACTTGCACACATGTAAATACTTCATACATGCATCATTTCTAACTTGATGAAACTATAAATACATATAAAGGTTGCTCTTAATCTTCAACCTTCCATCTATGCATACACAGAAATAAATTAGACATAATCATTTTTTGTTTGACTGTCATCTAGACTTGTGTTGATAACATCCAATTTAGGTTGGTGTACTGGTAAATGGGATTGAGAATCTTTGGGGGTTTCATTGGGAAAAACCTTAGAGTTTGTCCTCCAAGACCATAGTGTTGATTTGGGGGTTTACACAAGTTTTCACAAATATTGGATTCAATCGAGTGAAAGCTTCAAAGAAGAATGCTGGGTTCGGTCGAAGGAGTAGCGTGAGACAGTGAATTGTATGGAAATCTTGGAATACAATAATACACTATTGGATTCGATCGAGTGAAATATTTGAAGAATAGGGGTTCTTGCAAAGGAGTAGTATGAGGCGGTCAATCAATTGGTGTAATTGGGATGCTTGGTCGAGCTCAAGAACAAGGGGAGAGAAAGGGTTAGAATCAACATCAAACATTGTGTTTGTAGGGTTATATTGCTACATTTCTCTTGTAATCAAATTTTTGCAAAGTAAGACTGATTTCTCAATTTCATTTGGAATTAGGGGCAGACGTAGTCATAGCAAGGACGATTGGTGGACTGCCTAAACAAATTTGTGTGTCCTCTTTCTCTCATTTACTTTCTACAGCAAATTGTTAAATTCATTAGTTGTGTAATCGATACGTACAGACAAATCCTTTGATTGTTAAACTTGAAATTGCTTTGTTGATTACATTATAATAAATTTGATTGTAAGTGGTATTTCATATCAACAAAGTCAAAAGGAAAATCTAAAAAATCGATTGCACACCAAGTGTTTGATAATTTGCTAGGTTTCGTTTTTATCAATAATTTCATTGGAAATAGATAGAAACTCAACTATTCCATGGAATTGACCTTCACGTTCTTGGATTATTATGTCTCTTTGGTCAGAAGAATCAATATCACCCATAATAAGTGCAACAACTTTAGAAATAATAGGCATCTTATAGACGCGACTTTTCCGAGGTCTATCATAAATAAGTTTGAGTCTAAAGTCTTGGTATGCATTATCTTTCGATATATCCATTGCCATTCTAAAAGCCTTTGCATGAACATTATTCTAATTCAACATTAACTTCAATTTATTGATGATTTCCTTTTCAATATTTTTGTTATCTTTGTGACGTGTAGAAACACGGTGTCAAAAAGAATATATATAACTTCACACATAATAACCATGTAAGAAGGAATATTATTACCTGAAACAATTAATTGTATTAAAGACTTCATTTTCGGTATCAAAAACATAAAGCTTAGCATATTGTGGAGGATGTCCTGATTCAAGAAGCATACTTCATATTCGATAACAAACTTAACCATGCAGTCACAATGTAGGTGGATCTCTTCCCCTAGCATTAGTTGTGTCAAACTCCATCCCTGGGGAAGTAAAGGAGAACATGGCATTATATGTTCTAATATTGTTTTGGAAATTTCTACTCAGAAAAAGTGTTATTAAAAAGGAGTTGTTGTAATAGATGTGGTGGTTGTTTGGTCATTGTTA